GAGCATTAAAATTAACAAGTCCATAAGCTATGAACAAGCACCATTATTACTTTTCAAAACGTCATCAGCCACCCTGGCCAATTTTACAGCCACATCATAATCAGCCTCTCATTTATGAAATGTTCACTTTGGTTTTGTTGCAGCATTCCCCTAATCTACAGTTGCGCGAAAACAGACAAAAAAAAATTGGGTACACGTTGAAAATGCCAATTGCTTTCCGGCATTCCTTCCAATTAGCAGTGATTATAAGAACATGTTGTTCACGAAAGTATCATACAACGCGAATAGCACGGGAGGAGAAAAACATAGAGAATGTAGTTGATGTAATAACAGATGATAATTTGGAAATCGATCAAAAAAAACCTCGAAGGTGGAAGATGAAGATATGGCTCCAAGAGCAAGAGCAGCAATTTGAAACGCCAAACTTGCGAGGACCAAACTACATCGCTGGCACTCACGTAAACATATATTACTTTCGAGTCTTTAACGATCCACTGTGTACGCCTGAAATATAACCTTTTTTCCTCCTTCTGCTTCCCCTCCCTTATGATAGCCATTTCCAATGAACCCCCTTTTTAAACCTCAACCGCCGGTATCAGATGAAGTACGCGAGGAAATATACCGGCTTTTCACCGATCATCAGCTCACGCCCCGTGATATTGCTGATAAATATGGAATCTCTATCAAACGAACAGAAGCTATACTGAAATTGAAAGATGAAGAAAAAAGGCTCGTGAAAAAGGTATACTGCGTTTGAATGATATATTGGCAAATACTGAATTCTCGCCATTAATGTGTGCTTACTACGAACTTGTTTATTACCGAACATTATTTGTAAAGGGCGTAGTATTGCAGCAGGATCTCCGAAATAATATGGAGAAAATGCTCGGAGTTCGAATTTTCGCAAGGAGCGTTGAACCGCTAAGTACGATTATTCCAAAAGTAAAGAAACCGCGATTTCAGCTCATCGAAGAAGGCTCTAAATTTACACCAGAGGTTGTATACCTTCTTATGACTATTATTCCATGATTATCAGCATTATTCGTTTTTCTAATCTTCATCTTTTCAGGATGCTGCACGAATATTGGGCCGTGAGCCGCTTGAGCAAATACAGCAAAGACAGCTCGAGTATGAGCATCTTAATCCATTTTCACTTGACGATACAAAAAAAAAAGATACTTTTCGTACTATCAAGAAGGACAACTGTGAGACAAATAAGAGGTTCAAATTTATTTTTGTTGATACCGAGGTATGATTAGGGATTCGTTTAAGGCGTATCTGTAAGGGCAACAAGCTGATGCGGCATCCTAAATCAATCAATTTGTTCTTGATATAGAAAAAGAAAACTTTGATACGTGAACAAGATGGGACATTGCTTCAGAAAGTTGACGTTGAGTCAGATATGGCGATTGCCAATAAAAACAGTAGAACGGGTTCATAATTCATTTCTCTCGCAAAGCGTTATTCTACATATATCGGGGGTATAATATCAGACAGTACAATCAAAGAATAATTTATTAATTTTATAGGTGTAAACAATCATTCATTGTATATCCTCTTGAATGTAAGCGCAACGCCGTCTAAGAATTCGTTGGTTGTAACATAATGCTCCCTGCGTAGACTGTATTGCCAAATAATTGAGTCAGTATGAGCAAGTTTGAAGGTTTGTGACTAATTTTTCTTTTCCTTTGTTCTTACATGCAAGACTATTCCTAATTTTAATATCAACCCCGAACTCATACCAACAATTCAGAAATACAATTCGTCTCTCGATTATTTTTTGAGCCTCTCTTAGTTTTTTTTTTCAGTCGATTACTACACCCTATCAATCACTTAACTCTTATCTTGATACTTACTTCTTTCCATGGATGGTCAATGCAAGATCTTTGGTTAACTTGCCCTCGATGTCGACAGTGTCTATGCAAGCTTTCTCCAAATTGTGTGAAAACTTGAGTAATTTATTGTTATTGTCTAATTGTGCTCTATGTGCTAGTCCACGTGTCCATGCGAAGATAGATGCAATTGGATTTGTTGACGTTTCTCTTCCCTAATTAAAGTACGTTAGGGAACTTGTAATAATATTCACGCTTGTCATCAGATAAAAACAAACCTTCTGGTGTTCACGATAGTGTCTTGTGACGGTGCCTATAGAGATCATCGTTGTAAGAAGACCTTGACTTAACATACATTCAATCGGACAAACTGTTATTCATTCACGCAATATGTTACCATGTGCAGCTTCGGCTTCCATTGTCTTTCCATCGGGAGTGAGCAATACGCTTGTCATCAAACCCAACGAACCATACCCTTGCGCTATTATGTCCGATTGTACATCTCCATCATAGTTTTTACAAGCCCATAAAAATCCTCCCTCTGATTTGAGTGCCTGAGCTACCATGTCATCAATTAACCTATGCTCATACCAAATTCCCTTCTTCTCAAATTCTGATTTATAATCGCTGACAAATATAGATATATGTATACAAGTTAGGTACATGGAACAGATCGATGGTTAACGATCTGCCCTTGACTAAGCAATGTAAAAATTAATATATGTAGATAACTTACGATTCATATATCTCTTCGAATATATCTTTAAATCGGCCATCATATTTCTTGAGTATTGTATTTTTTGTACTGAGATACTGAAATCGAAGTACTTAACTGATAAAGAGTTCAGAGGAAGTTTTATTCGTCATATTTACATGCATCAGCATGCACTTGATTCATACATAAAAGCTGATAAAAAAGTTAAAGGTTTACAATCCTTAATAATCAGTTTAGAGAAAGAGAGAATGAATCGCTTGAAATAAATAAGCAATTGGAAGTGAAGTTAAAAGAAAAAGATAACAGAATAGAAGAATTGGAAGAAAGAGTAGAAATAGAACAGGAAATGTCCATGAAAGCACTTGACAAAGCTGAGGAATGGCATGAGCGAAAAAACTTTGAAATAGCTATTACTATGCAGAAAGATGTTTTTATATTTAACCAGCAACAAAATTGAGAAAGGATTTAGATTCTAGAAACGAGAAAATAGTTAAATTAATTAAACCTAAGAAGTTCCAACAACTCTGAAAGTTAGCAAATAAAATTAAGGAAAAAATTAGTACAAAAGTTAATGTAATCAAAGAAAGTATTAACAAAAATTCCAAGCCTACAGTTTACAACAATTCAAAACATATGTTTTGAAACAATAATTATGAAGTTGGAATATAGAATTCTTGAGGTAGTAGTAGCAGAAGGAGATAAACAAGATTGTAATTATTGTTCGTTTAGTTTTCGAGATTTTCGTTCTAAAGACAATCTTACTCTCAACATTGCTACTCACCAAGTAGCAGCATTTAAAGATAATGATAATTATGCTGACATAGCTTATATTTGTGCTGATTGTAAAAAGGATCTTGAAAATGATACTCTTCC